AATCATGTCATCTGGACTTCGTTTTTTTTTTGTTAAAAAGAAACGAAGTCCAGATGACATGATTCAACCTTTTTTGTTGTTATATACCTGGATGACTGAGAAAACAAACTTTGTGTTTTTGAAACCATTAGTGAAAAGGCCAGACCTCAGGGGTATCTGAGGCAGGCTTGAAACACAAGAGTCAGGGTGGCTTCTGGGTAATACCAGATGGCTAGGCCTCAGACTGACGAAGCCTCTTGGATGAGGGGCGAAACGTTTCTTTTTAACAAAAAAAAAAAACGAAGTCCAGATGACATGATTCAACCTTTTTTGTTAAAATAAATTATATTTCCATGTACGGTAAATATGTGTTTAAATACCAGTATCTCATTTAAGCTCAGACAGGGGCATGAAACGAAGCGGAGGAGACAAAAGAGGGGGGGGGGGGGGAAAAAAAAAAACAACGGGGAGGGAGGGACTGTTCCTCATGTGAGCTCTGCTGAACAGAATCACGTCAAATTAAAAACAGCAGTTGTTGACAAAAGTGTTTAACAATAAAAATCAATGGTACTAATTGAATGAATATTTACCATATTTTACCAGTACTTTTTGACTTCTGGTCACATGACCTCAAGACTTCTGGGCAATATTTACCAGTATGAAATTTTTTGAACAATTTCAGTTACGTAGGTATTTGGCACTGTTCTGTCCAGTGATTATGTTTAAGATGGTCATTGTGTTCATTTTGAAGGTATTATGGTTTTAACCATGAGTCAGACGGCAAAGCTTCATGTAGACTCATGGCGACCATGAAGTCTGAACCTGAAAGCAAGCTACATTCTGTGAAACTCCATCTGCTGGCTGCTTCTTGTACTACAACAAGAAAGCTGCACGCAGCCGGAGCAGGCTGGGGGCACACATTCTGATAATGAAGGGTGAATGCCCACGACTAAATAACCGGAGCATCTTATTTATGCACAAAATTATGATTTAGCTTATATTTAGTATGTGCGGCTTAGAGACAGGTGCGTTCTGTAGTTCTAGAATTACGGTATATATTATACAAAAAGAGATATGCCAATGTCCCCTGTCGCCGAGAGATTTGAACGATGAAGGTTTGTAGTTTTGGAAATGAGTGTTTTTCTGGACTGGAAATGTTTTTTGGTGCAAGATGGAGGTACACTGTGGAGACCAACAGATAGTTTTTGTTTGTTCAAGGTAGAGCAGAGTGATGAAGCCTGGCAAGTGGAGGGAGCAATTTTATCCACGACTACCGGTAAGTGCAATGGTGTCCTTGGCCTACACAAAGTAACCTTTGCCCCTCACCAATCACTTCAGGAAACTACACCTTTAGGCAATATCAAAAGTAGAAAGCATAGTTTCCTCCAAAAATAGTGTTTGTCAGTTTACCACCCCCCAAGCAAGATCTGTTACATGTGAAGGTGTATAAATGAGACTGTATTGCTCATGATTTTGGAGAACACACGAAAACTCTTGGGCTGCGTTTCCGTTCCATGTGTTCTTTCCTTCTGCAGAAGAGAAATAAACCTTGCTACGTGTTTTTAACAAAGTTCTCAGTCTGCTAAATTTTATTGAACAACAAAGTTTGATAAAACTCCACAACACCAAAATGGAAGTCGGTACCTCACTTATTATTTTTTAAGTTATCATGCTATAACACAGATGGGCAGAGGGTATTTCCAACCCCACCTCTTCACTTTGCGACGGAGACAAAAGTAAACGTTCCTCGAAGGAGTCCACACGTTTGGCCCCTTACATAATAAAAAAAATTAATAATTTATTCAATTTGTTAAGAACTTTACATTTTACAATCTCAAAGTGCTACAATATAAAAAAATGGACAAAAAAAAACAAAAAAACAACAACCTAAAAATCAAAGTTTGAAATACAGATTTTGTGAAATCTGTTGGTGCTCAGCTACTTCCACACCAACAAATAAATCAACATCTAAACATCTGGCTGAGTTTCAACCGTTCCCGTGTTTGCTCAGGTCAGTTGTGTCCACCAGCTTGAACTGGTTGACGAACACAGACAGAGGACGACCCGCCTTTAGCAGCGGCTGATAATGAGTTTGATGTTTGAACCTGTAAAAGCTTGAGAACTCTTCTCACCATGTCCAGCAGCAGGTAGACAGACTCTCTGTTGCGCGTCGTCATCTTGTCCGTTTCCTGGCCGATCTTCAGCAGGCTGGACGAGGCCAGCTACACACAGAAAGGTGTCATTAACAGAAGAACGTCTCATAAAGCAGGAATGTGTTCGTTCTGGTCCACATGCTTGGAGCTGCTTGGATGAGCTCAGTGAACGGGAAATTATAGAAACATAACTAAACTAGTTCATTAGTTTAATGAAGTTTTGAGTTAACTAGGGCTGTGCTGCTAACACAGTGTAAATGTAGAGATGTGTCACATTCTGCAGATTACACCAGAACCATCTGTGGCTTACTTTCAGCATTCTGATGACACATTTATAAAACAGACTGTTTCTAAGAGCATTTTGCTGATTCAGCTGTCACATTATTTAGCTACTCCTGCATACTTTCAGCTGTTTGAATTATACAACAAAAAGTTTGGCTATTCTGGAGGTGGGTGCTACAACCTCTGGTTTAACAACTTTAATACTCTTTAAACTATTTAACTTTATTTACAAATAATTTCCCTACAAAAAATAAACAGAGATCTCTTTAATTCCTTCAAAACTGTTCTTTATATGCTCCAGCTACATGATCTATTTTGGTCTTCTTATGCTACTTTACCATTTAGCTAGCCCTGTTGATCATTTTAACTTTCAACTTGCCTACTTTTAGCATTAAATTAGCCTTTTGGTACTTGTTACTTTGAGCTAGACTTATAGTATTTTAGCTTCCAATAAGCCTTTTACTAGTTTTGGCTTCCTGTTAGCCTTTTGTTACTTTTAGCTTTTAGATAATATTTTACTACCTTTAGCTTCTAGTTAAACTTTTGCTACTTTTAAGATTAAATTGCCTTTTGATACTTGTAGCTTTTAGCTAACATCGTATCCCTTTTGGCCAACCTTTTGTCTTTTTTTATCATTTGTCAAGCATTTCACTACTTTAAGCCAATATTGACCCTTTTCAAGCTTTTAGCCAGTGTTCTGCTTCTTTTTGCTGTAAAAACAAACTTTCAGCTTCTTAAGCTAATTTCAGCCGAGTCATTCAGCTCTCATTTGACTTAAAAAAAAAAACACAGGAAGTGAATGCTGTAGTTTTAAGTAAAAAAATTAAATTAACATTTTATGAAAATGCTTTCGATCTTGTAGCAAACAAGTGTTACTGTAACCTCAGATGTTTTATTACTGACGAGCTGTTTAAATGATCTATGCATGATGCAGTTAATTCAGGTACGTAAAGAACAGTTCCTTACAATCAAAATCAAACCAGTGAAGTATGTTGTTGTTTTTTAACCTGGACATTCTTCATTTGACATTAGCTGAATGTTTATAAAACAACCTTAAGCTCATTCAAAGCAGCGTAGCTCAAAACAAGACGGTTAGTGTTTTGTCTTACAGCCAGGAACTCTTTGAGTCGGTCCTCGATGCTGCCCTTGTGGATGGTGAAGAGCGCAGCGGCGATCTGGTTGATGGCTTTGGCCAAGCAGTGGATGTTGTTACAGTGGCCTGCAGGGGGCAGCAAACACACACTGTCAACTTAAAAATGCTTTATAATCAATTAGTTTCAACTTTAACAACTCAAACATTTCCCACATTTCACCTGGATCTGACGGTCTGGTTGAAAAAAAAAAATAAATAAATAATAATAATTCTCGTCTTTCATTTCTTGGAGATAGTTTGACGAGATGAGGCAAATAAAAAAGAGCAGGAAATAATGCTGGGAGCTCACAGAAGTCAGCGTGGCGATAATGAGACCGTGTACTGAGACCTGGTTTGGGAGAACCCAGTCACGGGCCAACATGCAGTCTGCATACTAACAGGGAGCAGGCCGGGAACACGTCCCTCTTCACAGGCCCTGATGAACGCTCAGCCTTTCATTTCAAGGTTGTTAGGAGGCAGCTCCGCAATAATTCACCCTTTAAACACATCTTTGACGCCTTATCAGAAGTCTTGATTAACTACAACAATGTCTTCTTGAGCTAAATATTGGGTTTATACAAGTGAACAGTTCTGAGTTTAAGCTAGATTTAATAAAACCGAGTGGGGCAAACATGTAAATCCATCCGAGGACAGAAGGTTGGTCTTAAACGCATTCAGAGCAATTTTATACAAAGAGTGCAGCCAAACTACTCCCATAGTTGTTTAATATCACCTGCTGCTAAATGCTAATAATGCTACCCTCATACATACATGCATGTGTGTTAGCAAAATATGTCATAAGCCAGCAGATAGATTTTAATGAAAACTGAAAACACACGACCTATTTGCTTTAATTTAAATACAAAAATACAAGTACTTTTACTACGGGTGGCAAAACATCACATTTAGACAATAAATGATTATTGTGACATATAATAGAATAATTAAATATACATTTATCGGTGTTTTAATGCACAGATATGAAAGACAAATAAACATGTTGACAGTATGTGTAAAACCATGGACAGATTAAAGAACATTTTTTATTTACAATGATATTAAATATCAAGTATATATTTTTTAAATGTTTTAAAATCCTAATAAAACTTGTCCAGTGATTCATGAGATATTTTACTAAAAGACATTGCTGACTCAACAGAAACCACTTTTAGTGATGACTCTCACGTCGACACACCAAGTCGTTCAGAAGCTAAACATCTGTAAAACTACCAGATTTATTCATTTTAATCAAACCCATGGTTAGGGTTAGCTGTGGCAGCCATACTGAATCAGGATGAGTATAAAAGGTAAGTGATAATAGATGTACAACCAATGATGATTTTCAGAGTTTCATTCAAATCCATCTTTTGGTTTATGATATATTTTGCTAACACTGCAGAAAAATGAACACGGACTCGTGCAAAAACATTTCGGCCATTCATTTCAACCTGACATGTTATTAAAACGCACATCACTTTAAGAAATAATAAAACTTCCAACAACTTGTCGGCCTACCCTCGATGGCCGGGCTGTACTGTGACATCACGTTGCTCGCCAGCGTGGGCAAAGAGACCGCCACAAACACCATCAGCAGACAGGCGATTTTATACTCCTCCTCTGGACTGATGTTCTCTGAAAACAAACAGGAAGTGCTCATGAAAACAGGAAGCGTGTGCGAGCTTGGCTGGCTGAGTTTAAGCTGAGACTCACCGCTCTTCTGAGACGACAGCGCCACCACCAGGGCCGGGTCGATCTCACAGGGTAAACCAGCAGCTGAGGACAGCTCGTAGACGTTCATGGCCACCTGGAGACACACGAAACCTTCACACACACACAAAACTACAACAAGTGATACACCCGTGTCCCCCGTCACTGAGGGATTTGAACAGTGAGTGTTTGTAGTTTTCAAGATGAGTGTTTTTCTGGACTGGAACTGAACAGAGAATGTAAGATATTCATGAAGGGACGAGTTACACTGAACACAGGGAGTTTAAATGGTTTTATGTTTTGCTTGTCCAAGGCAGCCCAGAGTGACAGTGAGTGGAGAGTAGGGCTGGACGATATGGCCAAAACTTTTATCACAATATATTTCTTAATTTCAGTCAATAACGATATAATTTGATATCGATATAAACTAGAGGTGCACCGATTGCAGTTTCTGGCCAATCCCCGATTTCTAAAATGTCTGACCTGCCGATTCCGATTTTGTTTTATAAGCAACACTGTCCGGTGTTATAAGGTCATAATGCACCTTCAATTTTACAATACTATTTTACTGAAAAACATACCCTTGAACAATATCCTAGAAACAATACAAACTTGTTTTAACAGGCCATGAGGTAGTGCTCTGAAATATAAATGAAGTTCAGACAATTGTTAAAAACAAGCAAACAAATAAAATCTGTAAAATCGGTTTCTCATGCAAGTATCGGCCGATTTCCCAAAATTAAAGAAATCGGGGCTGATTTCTCGGTGCAACCCTAATATAAACAATATAAAAGCCTCAAAAAAACTGTACAAAATAATGTTTACCTTTTATTTGTATTTAGCCTTCAAAGAAATTTGAAATCACCGTCAAATAAAAATAAAACTCTCAACTTTGTCAATATTAATAGTTTTAACTTTAAACAACAACATAACCCTAACCCATGCAGCTAACGTGGGTTTCTCTTTTGATACAGCTGGGGGTGTTTGTTTCAGGGACACGTTGGCTCAAACTTTAATTGTGCTTCATCTTCTGACTCAGCATATTCTATCGAGTGGAACAAGTTAGATGTGTTCCCACCGCTAGTTGGAACGAATCCCCGTCACATTTTACAGCACACAGAAACCTGCGGTTTACTGGATCTTAAAGCTGAACCAGTTCCACATCGACAAATTAGTCTTTTCTCTCTTATCATCTGCTTTCTCTTCGCTTGTGAAAGCTTGTTCAGGCACATTCTGACGGTCATGGGCACTCATTTTGAAGCGAAAACTTAACGCTCGTTGGAGATTAGTCTAGCCTGCTACCGTTAACGCCTTCTGGACTCGAGCTCTGCGTAACATCTAGTTGTGTTGCATCCAGTTGTGTTGCAGCTTTTTCTGTTTGGGTTGAAACTGAAGCGGCCGCTTCAACCCAAACAGAAAAGAAAATGTGTCAGTGAAACGCTGTAATCCTATCAAAATATCAAAAATGTGCTTAAACTCATATCACCGTTATTGAATAAAAGTATATGGTGACATATATCGATACAGAATTATGGTCCAGCCCTAGTGGAGGGATATACACTTTCAATTCCAATTCAATTTCAGCTTATTTATATAGGCCAAGTCACAACAGAAGTCATCTCAGGGCACTGAACAGAAAAATTAATATATATTAAAAAGTCAATTACTTGTAGTAACGTTATCTAAGGAAGGAATATAATGAAATGTATGTGGTCGCCATCTTGAAGTTGAAGTGGAAAGTTTTCATAATAACCTTTCTTAATGCGATGGGGGGGGGGACAATGGTTTTTTGTTTGTTTATTTCTCTTTAAAAATTCAAGTGTGAACACTTAACTCTGAGTGACTTGACTGAAATTTAACAAAGAAGGAGCTGAGACTGAATTGGTAAAGTAAAAAAAAAAAAAGGAAACATGAGCTAAAAGCTAAGACAGTGGCTAAAAGCTAAACTTAGTAAAACCCTAACAAAACAAATAAAATGAGCAAAACTGCAACCAAAAACAAAAAGGAGATAAAACTAGAGCTAGTACGTTGAACTATTTCGAAAGAACAATGTTTCTGAAGCATTAATTATTTATATGGGAATATTTTTGCAAATAAACTAAAACATGTTGAAAAGTAAATGTTATAACTAAAAGTAACAGCAAACTGTTCCTGACTGAGCCTAATGTTTTTATATATGACGGGTTAAAACAGCAAAAAGTCCATGGAAGAGACTAAGAAGCAGAAAAAGCTGAAGCCGATGCATTTCTGTGTTTCTGACAGTGGACTCCACCTTCATGTCGGTCTCTCTGGGAATGTGGTCCTTAAAATCCTCCACTGAACTGACCAGAAAGGGAATGTGACACGACAGCACCTGAAAGAACAAGACCAAAGGTTGAACAAACTGATTCACACCACATCACAACAGCGTAGTTTCTCTGAGTTATCTTACGTCTCTCAAAGCTTCCTGAGCCAGGGAGCGGAAGGACAGGATGACTCCAATGATGGTCATCCTCTTCAACACGCTGTCCACAGCTGCAAGCAAACAGAGGATCACGGTCAGCTGCGTGAACACATCCCACTGAGTTAAACAGAAGGTGTGCGTTTGTGTTTACAGGTGAGTTTCTTAAAGAGTGCAGCCATATGGTCCGGTTTGTCGAAGCTTGTCCTCATCTGGGTCAACACCTCCATGTTTTCCACCACCAGTTTCTACACACACAGATATTAATCACATTTAGGAAAATAAATTAATCTAAACATTTTTGAATTTCAATAAGGACACGTTTTGTTCACGTGTTAACATCTATTTAAGTCTTTAAGAGCTCACATTTGTTCAATTCAATTCAATTCAATTCAATTCAATAATACTTTATTTATCCCAGAGGGAAATTATTTTGTTGTTGTAACTCGTTATCCTCATTTCATTAAGTGATGTTATAGATACTGATGGCTGTAGACAGGAAGGATCTCTTGTAAAGGTCCATCCCACAGTGGATCCTAAGAAACTGGCTGCAGGTGCCGTCCGATCCGTCCACCCAGAATCGGCTGGCCTCTCGGTTCCCCTGGACTGTAGGACCGCTTGAATGCTTGGCAGAACTCCTCCCAGCACGATGGCCACTCCTCCCAGCAGTCTGCCGAGCTCCTCGTTGCTACGGACAGCTAACTGTAGGTGCTGAGGGACGATCCCGTCCATCCGCTGCCGTGAGTCGTGTTTCCTGCTAGTTCCAGGATCTCAGTGGTCAGGCACTCGAGCACAGCTGGCAGGTAGATGAGAATGTGTCCACAGAACATCCTTTTCAACTCATTTGAGAGTTGGGGCCATAGTTGAGATATTATTTGAGCTTTTGAGATGTTAATCAGCTGCAGTTGTTGTAGAAAACTGCCTTGTTGCCATGGTTACGCATCATAACAAATGTCCAAAACCAAAAAAGTCTCAGTAAAAATCCTTCCGGCTGCACAGCATCCAATACCAGAGGAAACAATCATCCAAAAAAAGTGATTTACATCCAGAAAAAGAGGAATTAAAGTTTCCAAAAGCAAAATCTCAGAATGAAAGTAACAGAGCTGCTCCAACATGCAGCCACCTTGAGCGGCGCAATTCTAGAACAATTCTAGAATTGTTGCTCAACATCTGATAATAAAAATTATACATATTATGATGACAAAGTCTTGAGCTATCCCTAAATTGTATTTACGTTTTTTTTTTTTTTTTTTTTTTATCCCATTTTATAAAATTTTCAAGATGCCATGCTTAATGGAAGGTAGCAGGTAATACATGTAGGTCCTGATCAAACTGTGTGAAGTTCTGGATATGAGCAATAAGTGTCAAGAAGTCCAAGACCACGAGGAGGGAAACGTGTCAGGAGACAGAGGGAGAAGAAGAAAGTGAAGAATGTAGGACTGAGAGTTGCAACTCTAAATGTGGGGACAATGACAAGTAAAGGTAGAGAGCTGGCTGACATGATGCAGAGAAGGAAGGTAGATGTTTTATGTGTCCAAGAGACGAAGTGGAAGTGCAGCAAGGCTCACAGCATTGGAGCAGGATTTAAACTGTTTTACCATGGTGTGGATAGAAAGAGAAATGGAGCAGGGGTGGTCCTGAAGGAGGAGTTGTCAAAGAATGTAGTAGAGGTGAAAAGAGTGTCAGATATGGTGATGTGTCTGAAGGGAGAAGTAGAAGGTCTGGTGTTAAATGTTGTCAGTGGTTATACACCACAGGTTGGATGTGATGTGGAGGAGAAAGATACATTTTGGAAAGATCTGGATGAAGTGACAGAGAGTCTTCATAGGGAGGAGAGAGTGGTGATCAGAGCAGACCTGAATGGACATGTTGGTGAAGGAAACAGAGGGGATGAGGATGTGATGAGCACGTTTGATGTCAATGAAATAAACCAAGAAGGACAGATGGTGGTGGATTTAGTCAAGAAAATGGAAATGGCTGTTGTCAACACATATTTCCAAAAGAGGGAGGAACATAGAGTGACCTATAAGAGTGGAGGAAGGAGTACGCAGGTGTATTGTGAAATTCTTTATCAAAAGGGCTCGTGAAACGGTCGGCAC